GAAAGACGAGTATACCCTTAGGAAGAAGAGGCTATCTGATGGTGCTTTGGCACCAATCTGATAGGCCTTTGGCGTCAAAAACTCTCTATGGGTGGCTTCTATAAATAGACAGCACTGAGGAAGGTGGTCAGGCAGTGCCAGCACCAGCTGCTATCCCCACTCCCGCTCCAATGGCTCTCATCCAGGAAGGTGGTTAAGCTGGTGGAGTAGTATTGCAAGATAGGGTTATGCAGCAGCTCTGATGGATTGAGAAGCTAGTCTTTGTTGCCATCTTTCTTGCCTTGTATGCAATTATGAAGAAGTAGGGTCCTATGTATGTGTGTGCGTGTCACTGTGTTTGTATGCTTGAATCAATGAATAAATGAGGCAACGATGGATGGATGGATGCAGTCCAGAAATATAAAATTCTCAGATTGTTCATTCACCAACTGTAAACATTAATACATTATAAACATAAGTGGCCACAACAATGCTGGTCTCTGTGTTAGCTTTAGCTGTTTTTTTCTGCCTCTTCTTTGGCAGACCCCTGCAGGTGAAATTTTAATTATGTTAGATTATTTAATGCAGTTCATATCATATATGAATAAATGTAACTGAGAGAAGATCACCTGTCAGCCTCTATTGCAGCTATGTCTGCTGGACTCCCATTCTTGCAGGTGTACCAGTGGTGCCCTAACTCATGACATATTGGACACTCATGTCTCATTGTCATAATCATAGGAGGATCCTTCTTGTCATACATGTCTCTATACACACTGCCTACTGTCATAGGAGGATCCTTCTTGTCATATTCAGCATCAGGCATATGATCAGGCTCATTATCTTTAACAATGTCATCTACATCATCTATTTCATAATTATCATCTTCATCATACACAGATTCATCATCACTGGCCCTGTTCGGCTTACCCAAAAATGGCACTATTCAGCTTGTTTTTTCAGCCGGAACAGCGTTTTCTCTCTCACAACATTTCAGTCGGAACAGTGTTTTTCAGCCAAATTCAGCCAGCCGAATGGGGTCACTGTCTGTTTCACAGTATGTATCTGCATCAGATCCTTCACCATCCCTTTGTTTGCTGCAACCTTGAGTTTTTGGAGGTGGTGGATGTTGAGGACCAAGGTCTATATACAACCCTTCCTCATCAACACCCACATGCTCATTGAATGGGTTTAGGTTAGCCATAATCAGAAGGATACTTATTCTCAACTTCGGCAATCAAATCTACGAAATTGGTACGATCAGCATCGACGACTTTGTTCAAGCTAAACCACCGAGCACGAGTATGGCGAGCAATTATCTGGATTTCTAGGTTGTAGCTACTAGCAGGGTCCATCCTACAGATGAACAACAGCAAGTTCACATACATCTATCTATCTAAAATCACACTATATCAACCATGACTACTACACCTAACTGATCACAATCACAAGGACCAAGCAATCGAAGCGGGAAAACCCCCTAAAAATGGTACTCACCCGTCGGGAAGCCAAGGAGATCGGTCGCCCGCGCACGCCCCCTTGTTCACGGCCATGCGCCGCCAATCCGGAGGATTCACGGTCTCTTCCTTCAGGCCTCCTCTTCCTTGCTCCACTACCCCATTCCATGCCGCAAGCACGGGGGATTGGGGGGTTCTTCTCTCCGTGCCGCAGTCGCAAGCAGAGTTGGATTGTCTTCTTCTCTCCCCACCGACGCCGCTAGGGTGTGGGGGAAGAGGACTCGAGCGAGATGGGGAGAGTGAGGGACTGAGGTGGCGGTCAATCGTAGTCAACACGGTCTCCACCGCCCAAGGGCAACATGGACAATTTCACTGGCCGGTCCCACCTGTAAGGGCTACCAAACGGCGAAAAACAAACAGAACAAATACGAAATGACTTGTAAGGTAAAGGAGTTTAGAGCAGTAGCACCTGTGTGCGGTTAACTTTTTTAATGGCTTGTGTGTAATTATAAACTTTTTTAGTGGCACACGGGTAAAAGGTTCATTAATTTGGTTTGGAGTTGAGTAAGAGAGGAAGGGATCAGGGAACAACAGGAAACATAACTAATGTGTGTATTAAATTAGGATAGGCTAGCTCCGTCACTCAGGCAGAGGCAGCCCTGTTTGTTTTCTGAATGAATTGGCTTAGACTGCTGGCCTGGATTGATTTGTTTGTTGGTTTTCTGTTTGCCTATTTCTTGGATGAGAGTATGGTTTATTTTTAGGATGTCTTAAAATCTGGAGACAGGATTGATGCTATAATTTTTCATAAAGCAGCTTGCATGAGTATGAAAATTTGTGTCATTTTTTTATATCTCGTTGAGCTTGAGCTTGTACTCGTTGATACACAAAGTTGCATTTTCAGTGAGGCTTGTAATGTTAAGGCTTGGGAACAAAATTAACTGAGTGAAATGCACGGCTACTCTGAAAATACAGCCATGACTCTGCTTATTGGAGTTGCTTAATTGTAGTTTAGTTACTACTAAATAGATTTCTGATTCCAGTTCAGATACTGAGTATGAAAATTTGTGTCCTTTTTTGTATCTCGTTGAGCTTATACTTGATACACAAAGTTGCATTTTCAGTGAGGCTTGGGAACAAAATTAACACAGCGTGCTCTGAAAATACACAGCCATGACTCTGTTTATTGGAGTTGCCTAATTGCAGTTTAGTAAATAGATATCTTATTTCAGTTCAGAAACTGAATCCAGTTTCAACAGAGCTTGGTGATATGTTGTTGTGCAGGGGCTAAGGGTCTAGGGACACATAATCTGGAATTAGTATATACAGATATATCAGGATTGGTGATGGGAGATCCGTGGGATTAATTTGGAGCTTGAAAAGATAGGAGGGGATCAGGGAACAACAGCGCAATGTTCTTGTGTGTTAAGTTGGTTAGCCCACAAACAGATCAACGCCTATGTTCAAATTGATTTGAGCCTGCCTGCTAACAACACTAATTTTCCTGTTGGCAGCCTCACTTTGATGCAACCTTGTCTAAATTCACATTTTACCTGTGAGTGCAGGTTTTACCTGTATCTCTTTCTTGAGGCTAAGATGGCTAATTACCAGCAATCTTGTTTGCATTTTTCTCAGCCACACGTCACTTTTTAACTTTGGGTGGTGGGTAGGGATTCCAGCTCACATTGAGTGGTTGAAATTTTTGAAGCCTGAAATTTAAGTTTAGCTTGGGCAACATGTTGGTTGAAATGTATTTGTAGATGAGTGTGATCCGTGGCAGCATGGTTCCCTTGTGATTTTTCATGAATTCAATTTCTTGCATATTTCTTCAGTCAATTCTTGTGCCCCACACACTTGAGTGACAGCAAGTAAAGTAGCTGTGCCAAATTGCGACATGCTTGATATCCCTTTGCTTTTTTTTCCCTTTTGGGGTCTAGCTTCTGGCGAATAGGAACATTTTTGTAGGTCCCCTGTTGTTCTAATTGCGCAGGCTTGCTGAATCTGAAAACAACACAAGATTTACTGATGCAGCTGAATTGGTACAGAACAATGACAATTATAGGGTGTAAAAACTTCCCGGACTAGTAGTGGATCCCTTCTATTCGTTTAACAGTTGCTTCCATCTGATCCAGCTGAACTGTGGTTCTTGTTGTCTGCAGAAGCATGAATTGTGGTTGTTGCTCTTCTCCATTCTTAAGCCATAAAAACTTGTGACTGAACGAACTAGAGCTGGACATAGCTACTCTTGTTCAACTGATTTTGCCGACCTCCTGGCAGGAGAGGGGTACATTGAGATGAAACGAGGAACATTAAAGTCAGTCAGGGTTCATTCCCAGTTTAACCAGTACATGCAGAAAGACATTGGCAAATCTGAAAATGCACTGAATTCTGCCAACAATATACATTTCAGACTTAGTAGTTAGGAACTGATATAAATTAGGGACACTTGAACGGTCTCTCTGTTTTTTTTTTTTTTTGAAGCTCATGTTATAATCTGAGTTCGAGTATGAAAAAGATGACAAGAGCATCTCTACTTTCAGAGTTCCTTCAGCCTGGAAAAAGGACAATCTCTAGGGTTAGTTGCTGGGTCTGTTTTCCTGAACATTGGTTTATCTTGTTTCCTTTGTCTTGGCCCAAACGGGGTATGTCTGTCGCTCATCTGTCCTGTTTATGCATGATGAACGAACGAACGATCTCGTCTGCTTTGCACTGGTTTATTTGCTGGGAAATGCAATGCTTTGAGTCACCTTCAACTCTGATCTTATCTTACCACAGAAATGCTGATGATTTCTGCGGCTAATAAGCCGACTGAAACTAGTTTGTTATGAGAGAAAAACACTGTTCCATGGCTCAAACGAATATGGCTGCAGAGTCCCCGTGTTGTGTCCTGAACAGTCGGATGCGTTTACGTTTCAGATGCGTTTACGTTTCACCAGAGCTGAGAATGAACGCTGAAATAATGCAGGTCTGTTCCAAATCGGAGCAGGCACCTTATAGATTTCTGCAGCTTACTATTTCCTCTCTTCCAAATTATAGACGTTTTGGATTTCCTAGATACATTGATTTTATTATGTATCAAAACATAATATCTATTTAAATGCATAACAAAAGCTACATATTAAAAAAGCCAAAACATCTCGTAATTTGAAATGGCAGTAGAATTTGGTGGTAGGCAAGGACAGAATGGATACAATTGCTGAACAATAATGATAGTATTCCTATAGATTGTCCAAGCGCGATCACCCATTCCAAACCTCCAACCAAATGCACCCATCAGATGCAACGTGATATCACAAGGGCGAGGCTTCGAAGTTCTAATACTGCTGTTCTGTTAACATCCATCGCTAATGCCAGTATAAAGGATACATATATACTATAGATTCAGAACAAATGCCATGCAAACAAAAATCCCAAAAAGGGGAGTGAGGTGTGAAATTGATAATCTGAATATCCAGAACCCATCTCAACACGCTTTACAAGCAACGAGGACAACATTATGCAAAGCAAGATACATGCTGCTTCGACTAACCAAACTACCTATGTTCCTATTCCTCATCAGAAGAGTCACTTAAAGGAACCTTTTTTTTCCTCACTGGCCGCAGAAGAATCCTACCCATAAAACATAAAAGGACAGTTAAGAGACAAAAGGCAAAGTGCCACTTTTGGGACAACAGGAAAAAGAACACATAAATGAGGAGACGTTACCTTCATTTTGTCCCATTCCTTCAATTTAGAACCAAGCATGTATGTGTCACGAAGAGGTGCCCATGCTGGTTCATCTTCATCTTTGCCAGTATGCTAGAAAGGGCAGATCAATTATGAGAAAGACAGCTCAAGGCATTAAGATTCACTTACAAAGCAAATATTGCACCAGCTAGTAACACCTGTTAGGCTAAAGACTAACCACACAAATTGTCACCTGACCTGTAAAGTTCTAGCTAAGAAGATCATGAAAATCTTGACTGCTAATTTTACCACTACAGTCCAGCTGTGTTATCATTGCCACACGGGAAACAACTAATCTTTAGACCATTTTTTCTAACAACAAACCGTTTTTAAACCAATGAAAATTTTAATCTAATATTTGAATCTGAGGCCGTTGAAACATGTGCTCATGGTTTAATACTACTAAACCAGTTACTCCAATGGTTATGGTTGCCAGGTCTAGTCAGCCATTCTGCCCAGTTAGCCTATTAAAGCAAAATCACAACAGCTATGTGGCGCCCCGCACCTAAGTGGATACCTTTTAGAAAATTGATTAAGTGTGGTTACTCTTATTGCAATGAACTTGCCCAAACAATGAACTAGCAAGTTAAGCTAGTTTTATCAGTAATACAGCTTTAGTAACTATCGGTTTGATTGCTTATACACCCTATAGAGATATTGTGGCTAGTACAAAGCCTGCCATTCAACAAATCCTGATCTAGTAATGCTGCATGTCAAAAATCCTCATCACAACAATAAAACATTCAACAGGGAAGGGAGTGTACAATTTAGCTTGATCTCCATGATACTAAAGGTTGAGATTCAAGTGTATAGAGGGTAGTGTGCTATAGCTATAGATTGAAATTCATGTGAAGTCATAATAAAATTTCTCAGAAATCAATCAATATATGTAGATGTGGAAAGTGGGTGGTGTGTTCTTGTAACTAGTTTGGCAAATGCCATGGCAGTGAGACTGAGACATCAGTGACATGTTGTCCAAATAAGGAGTCACCCAAGAAATAATTTGCAGTAGGTACCTTGGAAAAATTGGAAGATGCCTTGCTCTTTTTATCTTGACGAGATGGCATATCCAGTTCCGCGAGGAAGGTGTTTTTTCTTTCTTTTTCTAGAACTGTCAGGAGTTATCAGCAAATCATTCAGAATATTAGGATATGATCATTGCTGGCGCGTCTCAAAATGAAATGCATAAACATAAACACAGTGTGTACAACAAAAGTTTGATAACACAGTACTGCACTACAATGAAATGCAGCAGATGCTGTCGTTGTTTGGACCTCTTATAATTTGTATGTTTGAGTAATCAAGCGAGCGTGCATCTATTTGCATTCATTGAATCATATATAGAAGAATATTCAGTGGTCCATCATTTGTGGGTTTTGTAGGTCCAGCTAACATAGTCCTACACTGCATAAGAACAAGAATACAAACCAACCCCAGTATGAGCTCAAGTTCTACATAAGACCAAATTTGATAAGTGCCTATTTCATGAGAAAAAGGCTCTGCTGGAGAAATGAAAATGCTCTAGCTTTATATTATATAAGAAAAATGTTTCAAGTTAAATAAAAATATTCTAGAAGTAGAAACAAAATAGATACATATCACATATCTCCAAAATGGATGCATAGTAAGGAATTATATAAACTAAGAGAATTTATAATACCAAATTGGATTTTAACATCTAAAGGCATACAAACACTATGATATCTATTTGACGACTTCGGTGACATATTCCATGCTGGCTATGTGCCCAGGACTTTCCTGGTATAAGATTAAGTAACACATACATTCTGTCTTGTTCGTAGCCACGTTTTCTAAGTCGTTGTTGTCCAAGTCACTCATGTGTAACCTGGACAGCGGCAACTTACGAGCCGTGGCTATAAGCAAGACAGAATGTATGCATTTCTTGATTTTGTACCAGGAAAGTCCTGTGCACATAGCCATCATGGAACATGGCACTGAAGTCATCAAATACATGTGATAGTCTGAATGCATTTAGAAGTTAAATCGAATGTGCTATTGTAAATTCTCTTACTTTAAATAATTCCTTACTATGCATCCAATTAGAGAGATGTGATACTATGCATCCATTTCATTTCTCACTTCTAGAATATTTTTATTTAACTTGAAACAATTTTATCATAAAGCTAGAGCATTTCTTTCTTTGGGCCGAAAATTTGGTTTCTTATCTTAATATTTCATTTCTCGAGCAGAACCTTTTTCTTCTCATGAAGAAGAACGACTCATTCATATGCTCAACTGTTGAAATAGTCCAGGCCCTATTGCTCTACTAGCTGTACAGGATTTTTCTAGTATAAATAAATCCACCCTCCACCAAGTGTTTGGATAGGAACTCTGCATGTTGGATGTTACTCACTTAGTCTTTCCTTAATTTAACACAAGAACTCAACAACATTAATTATCACATCTATAATGCAGAAATAACTAAAAGCCTCTAAGAAGGCATGCAAGAAATATGCTATATAACTTCCAGCCAAGCATAATTCTATATATGGCACTGAAAATTGGAGTTTTAGCAGATGCAGCGTAGAATAAAATGAACAGTGCGATTCATAGACTCCAAAAAAAGGAGAGGAGGAACGGCTATAGCATAGTAGAGCGAGGAGGTCAACATCATACCTTTGGCATCTTTAGTCCTTGATGGGTTCAAATCTTTCCGAGGTTTTTGTGCCATGCTCACCTGGAAAGAAAAAGGCGATTGCAGTAACTATCAGCCCATTGGTGCAAAATATACTAATATCCATATAAGTTGTTTTCCACTATCATTTAGTACGTAAGTGAAGCCATTTTGAACATTGGACAAAATAATTATATCTGTTGAACAAACATGGAGTGGCAAGTGGTTAGAGGGTTCTCTGTCCTAACACCTAGAATACTACTGTACCTACTTTCATATAATCGATGAACACCCAAAACCAGCACAGAAGCAAGAATGGTGGAGTAAACGCAGTTCAGCTCACTAAAATGAAGAAAAGCAGCATGTAGAGTTTAAAAGTCACAGGGACCGAGATAAGATTGGTGTGCTTACCGCATTGAAAAGCCTGACGACTGATTGACCGTGGCCAAACAATCCATGTAAAAAAAACACATTTCAGTCAACAACACATTGAATTTGGTAAATCTGTAATCTGAGAGAAAACGAGAGGTACTTAAAACAGAGCATTACCCCCCTTGGTTGCAACCTTGACGAGCTCCTCTCTGTGCTGTCCAAGTGGTCTTTAGGTATGACATGGCCCTTTTCTGCTGCCTAAATTTTCCGTTTCCACCAAGCAAGAGCAAATTAATTAATGGCTTGCAGTAACCACATTTCAAGGAGAGTGCACCTAAAGTGCAAGGGGTATGAGAGCTATATACCACTCGCTTCTCCTTTCGAGCCTCTCCCTTGGGCTTGTGCTCCTCCACCTCCTCGGCTAACTTGGCGGCCACCAATGTCTTGTGCGCTGACATGATTGGACCCTAATGAGAGAGAAACTTCTTAGCAGTCTTGCAGAGACAACCCACATTTTTCTTCCTCTGTTTCGTATCTACTGATTGCCCGTCGTACACCAGCCAGCCAGCCAGACAACAAATGATGAAATGCGGCGAATCTATATCCGAAGAAATGAAGGCTGGGGATTACCAGGGGATCGTCGGGGAGTTTCTTGGACATGATCTTGAGGAAGGCGACGCGGAACGCCCTGCAGCCTTGCTTGAACCTCGTGACGGCCGAGCTGGAGGCCCCCTCCTCTTCGTCCTCCTCGTCCTCGTCCTCCTCCGGCTCGGAGTGGGAGAGGGCCTCGTCATCGTCGCCGTCGTCGTCACCGCGGCGGCGGCGGGGATTCGGCGGGTGCTCCTGCTGCTGATCGTCGTCATCTTCCTCTTCATCATCGGAGTTGTAGTCGCGAGCGCGCTTCCGGAGCAGCTTGAGGAACTTGGCGCTGGGCTTGTTGCGGCGGCGGCGGACAGAGTCATCCTGGTCGGAGCGCGCGAGCTTCTTCTTCTTATTATTGCCCTTGGGTTGCCTCTTGCGTATGCCGAGGTTCGGGGCGGCCGCGGCTGCGGGCGGAGGAGCTGACAGAGTCTGGGGAGTGGCCGCCATGGATGGCCTGGCTAGGGTTTAGGGCTCTAGCAGCGGCAGTGGAGCGGTGGCGGCGGCGGCGTCTGCTGATGCTTTCCCTGCTTCCTTCCACCCGCCCACTGCCGCGCGGCCCGAGGATATTAGTCGGATGGCCAGGCCTGGGCCTGGGCCTGGGCCTGGGCCTCGCCGTCCGTGGCTGCTGGGCTGAATTCAATGGGCCGGGCCGGATTGGTTTTCTTTCTGAATCGTTTTTTCTTTTCTAAGGGCTCCTTTGGACAAAGGAAAAACATAGGAACAAAGAAATGAATCTATGAAATTTCTTAGAACATCCTCGAGAGCCTTTCTAAAACCTACTCTCTAAATTATTCAATTGAAGAGGTTGTTAGATAGTGTTTTTTCATCAAAATATCTATTCTTATAAATTAGGAAAGGAAAAAGTCTACTTAACCCCCCACCTTTTATACTTGGTCTACTTTACCCCCCAACTATGAAACCGTCTGTTTTACCCCCTGAACTTTCCAAAACCGTCTATTTTACCCCCGGACGGTTTTTGATAGCGGTTTGGTACAGCAACAGCGGGTTGCTACAGTAACGGTGGTTCGCTACAGTGTCTATGGGTTTGAATTTTCTTTTTTAATTTATTTTCGGTGAATTTTTGAAAAATCATAGTAAATCATAGAAAAATCATAAAATAAAAAAATCTAATTTTATTGGACTCTACATGAGTAGATCTACACAGTGAATATATAATACGGTATGCTTTAATACAAATTTTTTTTGTAGCTTTAGATTAATTGGAAAATCCAATTTTTTCTGTATTTAATTAGAATTTATCTATAACTAAGTTATACATAGTCCAATGAGTACGAAATTTTTACTATAGTTCAAGCATACAATAATTAGCGTACCATAAAAATTTCACCACAATTGGACCATAGAAGCTGCAGCTATGAATTATTCCAATTAATTACAGACAAAATTAGATTTTCCAATTAATCTAATGCTACAGTAAAAATTTTGTACTAAAGCATACCGTATTATATATTCACTGTGTAGATCTACTCATGTGGAGTTCAATAAAATTAGATTTTTCATTTTATGATTTTTCTATGATTTACTATGATTTTTCAAAAATTCACCGAAAATAAATAAAAAAAATTCAAACCCACCGGTACTGTAGAAACCCACCATTACTAGCAAATCCATTGTTACCGTAGCAAAACCACTGTCAAAAACCGTCCGGGGAGGTAAAATAGACGGTTTTGGAAAATTCAGGGGGTAAAACAGACGGTTTCATAGTTGGGAGGTGAAGTAGACCAAATATGAAAGGTGGGGAGTTAAGTAGACTTTTTTCAATTAGGAAAGATATAAAGAGTCTTTTGGAAATGCTCTTAGGATTGCCATGGGATGCATGGAAATATAGGAATTTTGGTGGAAAACATGAAAACTTTCCTGTGTCTCTCTCTTTTCCGGTTCCTGCATTTTTCCTGTGTGCCATCCAAAGGCTATATTATAAAAAAAACTACATTACAGATTCCTCTAGGATTGCAAGTTTCATGCAACTCTAATTCTGTGTTTTCCTTATTCCGGTGTTTTGAGGATCATGTGTTCCAAAGGCTTCGTAAAAAACTGAATCGTTTTCTGTAAAGTATATATAGGCGCAAATAGGAAGCAAATATAGTAGTAGTAATATCATCATTGGCCTCATTCGGCTTACCCCATATTCGACTTGTTCGGCTTTTTTTTTCAGCCGGAACAGTATTTTTCTCTCACGACATTTCAGCCGCAAGAGTGTTTTCAGCCAGTTTCAGCCAAAATTCAGTAAGCCGAACATGGCCATTATTTGTTTAGCAAAGAACAATAAATTGCTAAAACAGTACAAACTGTTTTCAGTCCCATATGTACGGTTTTTATTTTTTTCCAAAAAATAACACAATAAACCCTAAAAACAAGCCCAGATAAACTATAGATTGAAATGCACCTTTTGGTCCTTAAACTTTTTCCATATTCTTGTCAAGTTCACTGTACATCCAACCATAAACTTGAATGAACCACTTAGGGATCGTTTGGATCCTTTTATTTGGAGGAATTAAAATCTACTTAATAAATTAGGCTATTTGGCTTGAAATTTAACATTCCACCATATAAGCCTACCTCAAATTTATAGGATGAAAGATAAAAATTGATTCGATAGATTATCATCATATGTTTCTACTTTATAATTTATAACACGCTCTTCAACTCACTCCTCTACGGTAGAAATGCAACATATAAGTATATCTCTTATATAGCCAACAATAATATACAAATATAATTCATATACAACCATATTAGCTTAATTAATTTGTGTCTAAATTATAATTATTAAAATGAATTCAATTTCAAGGATCCAAATGGGAAAGGTATCGTTCGGCTACTCTTGTATCCATATCAATCTACATGTGTTAGAGTGGATTGAGGTGAAAATTAGTCTATATGTAGATTGAGGCGGACACCACAAGAGTATCCAAACAAATCCTAAAAACTAAAGGACCTAGATGACCAAGAATTCATGGACCTAAATGAGAATAACGAAAAAGTTTAGAAACCCATGCATTTTTCACTCTATAGTCGAAATGATATGTTCTGTTTCTGATTTCACCGTCATCCCTAATAACATACACTCCAACCGGATGCTAGTTTTTTTTTCCCCACCGAGGACTACCGGATGCTAGTCTGCAACTCATTAAAAAGAAAGATTCTAAAAAAATGTTTGCAAAAAGAAAGGTTGGATGATTGGCTGTCAACTGGGCAATGGGCAGCCGTATTATTTGAGTATCATCATCCTCGCTGTGTGACAAGTTTGAGTAACGCTGGCCACATCATGCAAACAGTGACAGGCAAAGGTACGTACTCCTGTTCCCATTCTAGTATTATTTCTTAATTCTTATCACCAGACAATAGCCAGCCGCCCAGCCCTCTTGGGCTCTTGGCCGGTTTGCCCTTGCCCGCGGTCAACCGACTGGAGGTCATCAAGGTGCCGCCGACCCAATCAATCACAGACAGCTGAGTCAGCCAACAACTCCTGTCCACTCTTATGCGCATATCAGCAGCCGGAACAGGCAGCTTCTTCACAAAGTCACAACTGAAGCAAAACAGCACAGGCTTGAGTTGGCCATGTTCAGCTCTCACCTCTGCCAGCAGCAACCCGTCAGCTGAGACCCAGAGGCCAGAGATCAGGTCAGTTCAGTAGCTTCTCTTCTGCTTTCTCACTGCGTGCAGCATGCCTGCCTTCCACTTTGATACTTAGATTCAAGTTTCCGTAGTGTTCCATGCTAATTCCCAGAAAAAAAAAAACACTCCCATCCGCCTGAAAATACACAAACAAAAAGGCAGCACTTATGATTCTTCTTTTGCTTCCTTTTTTCGGTCGATCTCGTGTTGCCATCTATTTGTAGCTCGGTGCTCAACAAGGTTCTTATCGTCCCTGTTATGTTATGACTGGACAGGAATCAAGGCCCTGGACCTACCAGTTAAAGGTTCCTAGTAATTTTGCCGTCAACAACCTAGGACCACAGATTTATAGGTGCTAGCACCTCAGAGACATGAACTGAACTACTAACTTCAGTTCAGGCACTCTCAAAATTAGCAACATGGACTGGAGAGAACAAGTGTTCAACATTTACAAACAAAACCCCCAAAAGCAGCTGTCAACAAGTCCTCCATTCGGTGGCACCACCACCACCAGCAGCAGCAGCAGCCAAGCATCATGGAAGCAAATCCCTCCAAACCCTTATCAAGTTCAGCGAAAGAAGATAAAGTTCATCTGCAGCTTTGGCGGCGTGTTCTTACCAAGGCCAAGTGACAGGGAGCTCCGGTACGTTGGTGGCGAGAGGCATCTGGTTCGGATTGACCGGGACATGTCATGGCGCGAGCTGACCTGCAAGACAACAAAGCTAATCAGGCAGGATCACACGATCAAGTACCATCTCCCAGGGGAGCAACTGAACATGCTCATTTCCATCACCTCTGAAGATGACCTTCGCAACATGATTGATGAGTGCATATTTCTAGAAGCAAGCAGAGAGAGACTTACCATGTACCTTTTCTCCGCGAACGAGGATGAGCATGGTGTGCACTTCCTTGTCACACGCTCATCATCCGAGGCGGAAAAGGAAGCACACTTCATTGCTCTCGTCAATGGACTCGCCGCACCAATTGTGGCATCAAGAATGCACAGCCTTGGGAGCACGTCAGCCAGTGATCTGGATCAGGTGATGCTTGGCGCCAAAGAGGATAGGTTGCCGGCAGGCATGGAAGAGGAATATTCAATGCACATCAAAGGCAAGCCCTCGCAAGGGATCGTTGTAGAACTGCCAAAAACATCAAGTGGCCCGCTGGAGAAGACACTTCCAACACCAAAATTCCTGACACGGAAGGCCAGAAAAGATAACGTGCAAAACAGGGAAGGCAACCTGATCACCTCTGGTAGAAATGTTCACTTTGGTCCATGTGTGCCATCTGAATCCACACATGCAGCTACGAGAGGGACCAGTAGTGATCATGCTGTCTCAAGACATCAGCCAGAAATGCAGCAAACTACTACAACTATAGCTGGAAAGGGCCATCAAGCTACAGAATCTCAGGAAAAAGGATCACTGAGAAAAGAGCTGCTGATACCACTAGACAACAGCAATGTGAACATATCATCATCTAATTCAAGTCCAACACCCCATACAAATCAATCCGTGTTTGTTATACTTGAATCTTCATCAAGGGGCTCCCAGAAAACGGTGAATCAACAAACAAGCTCTGACAATAAGAAGATGAGACCAGAAAGGAATAGCACCCAGGAAGAAGGTATATCTCATTCAGCAGCAGCAACAGAACCACCAAGAAATAACAACAACTTTCAATTGCATAATAAGACGGAGATACCCGAACATAGTCCTGAGTCTGCTTCTCCTATGCACTGCCATGATGATATGGACATCAGTTCAAACTTGCATACTATGGAGAAGTCAATTGCAATCAACAGCATG